TCAGCAATTTCTTCGATGATGACACCGAAGTGTCAATCGGAACCCTTTTGGATGAGAAGCAAAAAGACGGAGAGTCAGTTGACAACTTTGTCAAACGTTTCCGTAACAAAGCAATGAATTGCAGAGATCCTATCACGGAGGAGTTCATCCTGCAAACATGCCACAATAACCTCTCCATCGATGTCTTGGAAGCTCTGGGGGTCGTGCCATCCACAACTTGGAAGGAGTTAAAATCTCGGGGTGAACAAGCTGAGCACTTTCTTAAAAGAAAGAAAGCTGAGAGAGGTCAACCAATGACATCTGCAATCATTGAGAATGCGACTCTCGATCCGAGGTTTCAAAAGGAATATTCTTTCGAAGATGATGAAGCTCCAGCCATCTTGGAATACCTCCTCGCTAATGACAAAATCGAGCTACCACCTATTAAAGATCAGGAGGAATCTATAATGATTGCGGATCCAAATTACTGTGCGTACCACAGAAGGGTTCTTCATCCCACCGAGATTTGCTTTGGACTCAAAAATAAGATCCAAGCCCTAATTGACTCCGGCGTCATAACGACGAAAGAAGTCGAATAAAGACGACCATAAACTCCATTGGGTACACGAGTATAAACTGTTTCCCCTCACTCCGAAAAGTATACGAGTATAAACTGCTCCTCGATACTCCAAAAGGTATATGAGTCTAAACTATTTCCTTTCCTTCACGGGAAGTTCCTGGAGAGCGCTATGCATAGTACTCTTAAGGATAACCCGATCATACAGCTGAATATAATGATAAACTCAGTTTCATAAGAAAAGCTGGGGGTGGATGGTTCATGTAACGGGAAGTTCTCGGAAGAATACTACATGTAATTTTTTTAGGGATAACCCGATCATTATGAACAAAGTGATAAACACTAAACTCCTACTGACTTCTGAATACTCTTTTGCTGAGATGAGATTCGATCACCTCTTTAGATCAATCTTCCCTCACAAAATTCCCATTTTGGTCAAACCTTTAAACAATTAGGACCAAAGCCAAAATCTCCTCTCGTTTCGTTAACGATCAAACCTTTAAACAGTTAAGATCGTCTCAAATTCCCATCTTGGTCAAACCTTTAAACATTTAGGACCAAAGCCAAAATCCCCTCTTGATTCCTTCCATGAACAAGAGGTCCACCTTCGATTTGCGCAATCAAACCTATGAAAGTTAGGATTGCTTCAAATTTCAATTGATCAAACCTTATTCAGATTCTCTGAATAGAAATCCCACTTCAAATTTCATTTGTACCAGGAGATAGAATATAAAATTCTTCCTCTCCGATTCCGGGTTTATCTCTACCAACAAACAAGAGATCAGGAGATAGAATATAAAATTCTTCCTCTCCATCATCGGGTTCATCTCTACCAACAAACAAGAGACCAGGAGATAGAATATAAAATTCTTCCTCTCCGATTCCGGGTTTATCTCTACCAACAAACAAGAGACCAGGAGATAGAATATAAAATTCTTCCTCTCCATCATCGGGTTCATCTCTACCAACAAACAAGAGACCAGAATACTCCAATAGGTATACGAGTCTAAACTATTTCCCTAATCTCAACAGGAAGTTTCTGGAGAATATCACTCAGAATATTCTTAAGAATAACCTGAATACTCCAATAGGTACACGAGTCTAAACTGTTTCCCTACCATCAACAGGAAGTTTCTGGAGAATATTACTCAGAATATTCTTAAGAATAACCTGATTACCTCCCAACGGGTATATGAGGTTAAACTATTTCCCGAACACTCCAATAAAGTATATGAGTATAAACTATCTCTACAATAGCAGTTCTAATTCAAGACTTCGACGACGGTCACACGATAAACGCAGCACCGGAAGAATTTTAGCTATTCTACAAAGCACTGAATAGGCTAAAAGATGACGAAGTCAAGAGTTGAAGCCATTTATGGGGGCGAGACAGACTTTTACTGTCTCGCCCACGCGAGACAGTTTTCACTGTCTCGCCCCCGCGAGACAGTATTTACTGTCTCGCCGTGCGAGACAGAATTTACTGTCTTGCACGTGAGACAGTTTTCAGATGGTCAAAACTACCTTTGCAACTGCCCTACACGTGGCCACTAACTGTTCAAGAACGTGGGAAACGTCGTGGGCGAGAATCACGTGGATAACTGCCAAAATAACGGAGTTTGAAATGTGGGAAGGCAGTTAAAACGAAAACTGCCTGCGGTTACTGTTTCCAAGACAGTATTTACTGTCTCGCGGGTCGAGACAGCAAACACTGTCTCGCCCAGCGAGACAGCAAACACTGTCTCGCCCGCCGAGACAGCAAATACTGTCTCGCGAGCCTGTTTTCTGCCAACTGTTCTTGGAGGTTATAAATACCCTCCTAAGGCCATTTTTCCAGGGGGCTGATAAGGCTGATCATTTTGAGCACTTCAGAGCAATCCAGAGCAGAGAGAGAGCAGAGGTCTTGAACTTTCGGCCAATCCTTGATATTCAGGCTTTGACTTGATTTCAAGAAGAACGACTATCTTACATCGATAAGATATCGTTTCAATTTCTCACTTCGATAAACGAAGTCAGAATCATAAACCCCTCACGATTCAATCAGAATCTGTGATTTGGTGGTCCACGGGCTAACGCACCCCCGGCACAGGCAAAGATCCCACGCAAGCAGCGATCCAAACAACGATCCTGCGTTTGTTTCTCAAGAGTTATAATTTTTATTTTGTTGTGTAAAAGAGTCTTATAAAAAGGCTGTTTTCTTTGAATTTATTGTAATCGACTAAAGATATAATGAATTCGACAACAAATTCGACTTTTGGCGAAAACAATCAGTTTCCCATGTAAAATGCAAGAACATATATTGCTCGATCTGGATTAATATTTCTCAAAAGTTTTAATAAAAAAAGGAAAAAAATGAAATATTTTGCTCATATTCATCCTTGAGAATCGATTATAGGTAACACTCTCTTTGATATTCTCTCTACAGAAATTGGATGGAAGAAAAAGTTTAAATAGCAGAAAATGGACATAAACATGATCCATGTTACAACAAATCCATATCATAAACGTGGGCTTAATTACTCTTATTACTAACCACGGCTTGTAGGAATCCACACATTTAGGCAATTATTAAGAATAAATCTAACACTGTTTAGTCATAAATAAGTGAATTGGATGCCAATTAAGCTTAATTTTCATTCCTTGAAACAAATATCAGCCGTAAATATATTCATTATTATTCAATTAAATTAAATATAAAGTAATTTAACTCTAAATTCTCATGTAAATATGTACATTATGTTCAAGTCTACTACGATCCACCGTGGGTAATTTAGACAATAGAGAGGTTTCAATATAGCGCCCACAACTCTCTCGGTTTTGGATTCTCTTAAATTTAGTTCCTCTAACCAGGTTAAATCGCCATCTTTTATGGGTCGAAACCTGGACTCACGCAGCGGTGTCAATTTTTAGAAAATCCGCATTTAATTCGTGGCCGGTGGGATTTGAAACTGGGTTGCTCTGATACCATCTTAAATTTAGCTTCTCTAACCATTACACCAAAACACTAAAATTATGGTAATTATTAAGGATTATAGTTTTATATTAATTCTAACCGATTCGATTCCAACCTGTGTTATCCACACGCGCACAGAAAAAAAAGAGAGGAAAAAGTCAATACTATGATGGTCCCTCCTCTCTCTCAAGGAAACCAGTCATCCTTAGAACTTGATCTCTAAATCTTCTCAGGTCCCTCCCTTTAAGCGTCCTTCCGCTTCCGACCCACAACGTCGCCGTCTCCTCTGCCCTGCGCTCCGCCATGACATGCGGCGGGACCACCATCCATCCTCCATGGCACCATCTTCCAGGCTTCTTGGTCCGGGCGGCCGGTTTCAACCGAGGCTCCGAGGCTCGCCTTGGCCGGAGTCGGTTTCCGGCCACAGTATTTCGGCCTCTTGGAACTCTTCTTCTTTTGCCTCCTCCGTCACCATTTTTGTTGGATAATTGGTGGGATTTTTGTGCATGATTTAGTTGCATACTTTTGGTTTATTTATTTATTTATAGAGGGTATCAAAGTGTGGGAATTAAGGAATCTTGAATTATTGAGTCATTAGCACATAAGCGCGTAATGATGACCTCATCTCTAGGAGACTAGGACCAAGCTTGCATAAAGCTTTGCCATTTTCCGTACTTGGACGCTTTTGCCATTTTCCGTACTTGGACGCTTAGTTAATTAATGTTGGGGGAGAATTTGGCCCCAATTTAGAGTTGATGAGCCGTTAGAAATCAATTTTAACCCAAAAGCTATAGCTATCAGGTATTGACTCAAACTCCTATTTATTAAATGTTGCTTAAATTTTAACCCAATTTAAAGTATTATTTATTAAATGTTGCTTAAAATTCTTAATCTCTAACCAAATTAAGACACATTTTTAATGATTTAAACGAATATTCCAGCACATATTGAATCGCAATTGCAGTGATATCTAGTTGCATTAATATTATAGTGCAACGTATGCTATGATTTTTTCCTTCTCTATATGATTTTCTATAGTTATATTTACTTATGTATAAATATAATATAAACAATATCAAGTTAGTGCAACTGGTGAATAAATATAATATGAATCATATATTGTATAATAATTTGCCTAAGAACTCTATTTTTGACCCTTACAAGTTACAAGAGGCGATACAATTCCTAACGACTCACTCATGTCTTCTGCATTGGACCAGAACAACCCCTAGCATGAGAGATGTTCTGATAAGATTTTTATTCATAAATCTTAAGGATTAATTATAAATAAATCATGTGTATTATGATGCTATAATCACTTATATTTCCCAAGTTTTTTTTAATAATTTAGTCTAAAGGAATTTAACCCACTACACGTGGAAGATTTCATTACGGCTCTCAAGATCTTGGTTCGTCACCTGCAGGTAGTTATAAATAAGAAAAAAGTCTGTTTTCACTTTTCCTGGGTGGCTTATTGATAAAGTTGATAAGATGAGGAGAAGGTTTTTGTGGACTGGTTCTTTGGAACATAAGAATTCTTCTAATTTGGTTAAATGGGATGAGGTGTGCAAACCCAAAAAGCTTGGTGGATTGGGTATTATAAATTTGAGAACTATGAATAAAGCTTTGCTGGGAAAATGGATTTGGAAGTGGTTTGATAATAAAATGGAGCTGTGGAAACAAATAAGTTTTTACAAGTATTTTGAGAACAAAAATTGGACAGCATATTTTTATTCTAGCAAGAGGTCTTTATCTCATTTTTGGAAGAATTTTTTTATTGATGTTGAAAGCTTCTTGTGCAGTACTAGTGTAAAAGTGGGGAATGGAAATCAAACTATTTTCTGGTTTGATAAATGGTCAGGTGCAAATACACTGGCTTCTATGTTTCCTGCTCTTTTTCATATTGCAGAGTCCCCCTATGCTTCTATTAGCAGTTTGAGGAAAAAAATTAATAATGAGTGGGTTTGGGATATCAAATTTCAAAGCCTATGCTTCTATTAGCAGTTTGAGGAAAAAAATTAATAATGAGTGGGTTTGGGATATCAAATTTCAAAGACAATTGACAGGAAATCTGGTTTTTGAAAAAAATTAATAATGAGTGGGTTTGGGATATCAAATTTCAAAGACAATTGACAGGAAATCTGGTTTTTCAATATTTTGATATGTTGAAGAGTTTTATGCTTATTAATTTTGTTCACAGAGAGGATAAAAGAATGTGGAATTGGGAAGCAAAAGGCAAGTTCACTGTTAAATCATATTATCATTTTCTTATTGATGGAGGCTTAAGGTATGAATGCACAAATCTTTGGAAACTCCCTGTTCCTTTAAAAGTGAAGTTTCTGGTTTGGTTGGCTTTAAGAAGTGGTTTAAACACAAAAAAAAAAATAGAGAAGAAAGGAATTCATATAGATATGAGGTGTTGTTTTTGTTCTAAAGAAGAGGAAAATCATCTTCATCTCTTTGTTAAATGTGAGTTTGTATACTCAATCTGGAGGTCTATTCAACACAAAATGAAAATTAAAAAAAGACTGCACTTTATATTCTTTAAAAGAAATTTGGAAGAGTTGGAGTGATGAGAAATATGTTGGTGGGAATATAGAAAGAGATGTGATTATTTGTTCTCTTATTTGGTGTATTTGGCAGGAAAGAAATGATAGAATTTTTACAAATAAGAGGAGGAGATCATTAGAACTTCTGAATAAAATTTTGACTTTTGCAAAATTTTGGATAGGTTCACAGATTTCTGATCGTGAAGCTAGATTACAAGAGAGGAGGAGGAAGAAGGCTGCTGCAAATGTTTCAGTTCCTGTGGCGGGGGTGATTGAACTGCTGGAATGAAAGTTAAGTTGGAAAAAGTGATCTTTTTTGTGGTTTAAAAATGAAAAATCTGTATAAATGTTGGTATTATGTTACATTTTCTGATATTTTGTTGCTAGATATCAGTAGGGGAGGAGACTTGGTGAAGTTTTTTATTTTGTAAAGCTTTGATGAACTAGGGTACTCATTCTTAGTTGGGGATGAGTGCTATTTTTGTAACAGCCTTTTTTGCCTAATTTAGCTGGCTGGATTACTATTTTGGTAATCCATCCTTTCTCTCAAAAAAAATAATGATGAAGATTAGAAAAATATTAGAAAAACGATCTTGATGCAAGAACAAGAACGGATTCATTGTGATTCAAAAACATGGAAGGGTTCATCCGAAAACATGGAAGAAGTACTTGGACGGATTCTAGGCTATGATCCAAAAAATCCTAACCATTGCTCAAAAAGATACCAAGCATATATAACTAAATCTTTGTCATTTCACATACTCGGAAGCTTTACGCTTAGCTCACTAAGTATTATTTGCAAAAGTTGCATAAAAAGCCAAATCTTTAACTAAATTAAGACATATATTTAACGATTTGAAACTATCCAGCACATATTATAATGTTGTGTGCAAATAACTGGGATTTGGAAAATATTAGAAAAGCCATCTTGATGCAAAGAACAAGTATGGATTCATTATGATCCAAAAACAATGAAGAACTTGGATGGATTCTACGTTAGGATTCAAGAAATCCCAACAATGGTTAAAAAGATGCCAACTGTTTATCTTGTTGAATTTTCACTCACTTTAGCTTATTGATTTGACGCCAGCTATTTTTCCTTCCTTTTTTTTAATTTTTTTTCCCGCTTTTTACAAAATCCAGTTTCCATATTAAAAGGTAGATTTTCATAGCTAATTGAGTAGTGCCAGGAGGACCCAGAAACGGGACAGATTTAGGGAACCGGTGATGTTGAGGGGACAGCCATGTAGCGGATGATTAATGAGCTGGAGAATATGAATATCAATGAGGGGTGTTTTAGTAATTTATGTTGTCATCTCTCCTAACCTTTAATTGCAATATACCCTAATTTCCCCCCACATGATCCACAACTAGGGGTGTTATCGGAGCGGATACGGCTCGAATATCGCACTTACCATATCCATATCCGCTTTTTATAAACGGATACGGATACGGATACGGATACGGATCATTCTCGGTAAGAAAAAACCTTAACCATATCCGCACTTATCGGAAACGGATACGGATCGGATATTTGAGAATCGGATCGGATACGATCACGGATACAAACGGATATTCACATATAATTAGAATTACAATCAAATAGGTAAATGTATGTGGTTGTAGGCTTCTCCTTAATTCACATATAATTAGAATTACTGAAATTGAGCACAAATCTATTACTATTAGACATATAATGTTCATCAAAAACCTTCAGTTGCACAACCCATGACACAAACATTTCACAAGACAACCATGACACAACAAGAACATCATCCTTACTAATTAAATCACCAAAAACCATTACAAGAGCAAACCCACAGACTTCTCCTATAATCAATAGACAACATAAACGCCAAGTCTGAATGAAATTTTTAAAATAATTTTTTTTTAGAAATGAGAAAGAAGAAATTTTACTTGGGAGGAGATAGGATCACCAAAACTTTGACTCTGATCTCGTAACAGAAGCCCACATGCCACGTCCAAGCTTCCATGTAAGAACAATTTTTCACTGTAGACCCGATCTGCGTTTTTATTACCAAAACCGACCGAAAATTTTTTTAATTACCAAAATCGACCCGTTTTATGCCACGTAGGCTTAAGCCCATTTCCTAATTAGTCGGGGTTGCCAACCCCGACTGTTTAGGAATTGTTAAACCCCAATTAAATCAGGTTTAAGGCTTCTAATTACGGTTTAACAACTCCTAAACAGTCGGGGTTGGCAACCCCGACTAATTAGGAAATGAGCTTAAGCCTACGTGGCATAAAACGGGTCGATTTTGGTAATTAAAAAAATTTTCGGTCGGTTTTGGTAATAAAAACGCAGATCGGGTCTACAGTGAAAAATTGTTCTTTAGGTTTTGATTGAATAACTAGCCAAAATCTGAACAAAAATTAAAATAAATCAATAGAAAGAAGGGATTTTACTTGCGAAGTGTCTAACTCAGGTCCCTCTTCGGTCAAATACTTATAATTCACATCCTTCAAATACATCGCCTTCTCCCTCTTCTTCCTCTTCTTCGATTCGCCATCGCCTATCCTCATCATCTGATGAGGATTCAAACAGCTTCACGTCCTTCTCATTCGAATCGGATCTTGCTTCTTGACTTAACGGGCGTCGTAGACTTGAGATCCTTCTGTGGCTCGACGTCGGAGGATAAGGACTCGTCGTCAGGAAATCGTCGGAGGAGGAAGCACGACACCTTTCTTTTTGAGCTCCTCGAACCACTGGAGATCCTCGCGCTTCTTGTTGTGCTCGAATCTGTGGGCGAATTCTTTGTCGATTTCGATCTTGGAGAGATCTTCGTCTCGTGATGTTGGGGTCGGAGACGGGCGAAAATGTCGACCCCCATTTTTTAAAGCAGAAGCGATGAGGGATTGGAGAACCTAGAAAGAGGGATGGCGAAGATGACGAACGGAGGCTGGAAAATTGAATGGGGCTGGAGACGAGAATGAATGGCGTCGCTGGACTCAGGAAATGAACGGGCTAGGGTTAGACACTGGACTTCTTAGTTCTTAGAGGTTTGGGCCAGCGTTACGGTTTGTAATTGTAGTTTTAGACGCCGACCCCTAATCGCGTATATATGCGGATATCCGTATCCGCAACCCTCATATCCGTTACCGAATCCGTATCGAAAAAAATCCGAAACCAGATCCGTATCCGTTACCAGTATCGCCCGGTTTTAAAATTAGTCTACCATATCCGCATCCGTTCGGATACGGATGCGGATCGGTTCGGATATATCCGAACCGTTTGGCACCCCTATCCACAACACTCCTGATTAGGCGTGGAAACAAACCGAATTCGGATCGAATAGCTCAGTATTTGCATTCATATTCCATTCGAATTCGACTATCGAAATTAGTATTCAAATTCGAAACGAATGGGAAATAAATATTAAATTCGATTCTGATGATATCTGAATATTCGACAACTATTCACGAATATTTATTAATAGTATTTCGGTAATCTTTACAAATTGTTCGGTCCATATTTGTTAGATATTCGGCAAATATTTGTTATTCTAGTTTTGAAATAGAACCATACATGATATAGTTGACGAATATGCAACCAAGTGATATAATATCGACAAGTAAAAAATAATTATCCACATTACAATCAGCAAAATAAAATTTTAAGGACTAATAACGAATAGTTTATTAAACAAACGAATCGAATATGTCTATAATTAAATTCTATTCATTTATGAACCAAATAATAAAAATTATTCATTTATTATTAAATGAACTATATGGTCGAATATGACCGAATACTTTGACAATTATTTTGTTAAATATTTGGTTCATTTCCAGCCTTACTCCTTATCTAGCCGCCGTCAGCGACATTGCCATCGAGGCCTACAGTCTATAACCCGTATGGCTGCAAACTTGCGATCATCGTCACAGATGCTACATAAACTCCTCCTCTCGTTGGCTACAGAACCACAGCTCCTCCTCCTTGAAGTAATTAGGCTCTTGATCTTATTATGACACTAAAGCAGCCTTAAAAAATTTTTGAAGTTCATTATATTGCTAGAAAACCGAAGCTATGGACATAAATATATGATCTTTGGGTTGGTGAATCCACAATATGAATCAAATAGGAGCCACATGAGAAACAAAAGGGGAACTGTTATGACAAATTCCCCAGGATAAACTAATATCAATCACATGAGAGCACGAAAAATATCAAGAACACACGAACACAAAGATATACGTGGTTCGACTTGTAGCCTACGTCCACGGACGAAGGAGGAGAAAAGTTTTACTAATTGTGAGGAATACAAAGTGGATTTCTCAATTACTCAATCCTAAATAACACCCCAAAAGCCTAATACAGCTCTCAACTAAAGGAACAAAGAGAAGAATATCAAATAGGTTTCACAAAAGAACTCTCTCTTCTTGATTGATGCTATGAAGATTGATGAATCTAATTAGCTTAAAAAACTGTTCTTATATAGCCTTGAAGTTCACAACTCCTTGCTCTTTAAGGAATAAGAGTTCTAATAGAAAAGGAAGTCCACATGTCCTAAAACCCAACAAGAGTCCAAGTAAGAAAAAACATCTAATATGAGTGGTTGTGCAAAGTCTAATGTATATAAGACTCCTAATCAAAACAAATCAAACTGAAAAGAAACTCCCAAAGCAATATGGATTTGAGTATTTGAGGCAACCTATAACAGGAATAAAATGTTTCAGCAGTAAGGGAAGAAGAGAGGAGATAATGAAATATTACACCATTACACTTACTGAATTAATTCATATATCCAACTTCGAAAATAAAAGTATAATTAATATAATCCACCTCAGCTGTGGGACAGCTTGGTATTGGTCTATTTTTTTTTTAAATTCTAGCTAATTACAAGCTCGCAATAGAGAGATTATTGGGCCGGGTTTGGATCTACCTACCACAATAGCTCCAACAAGAGATACCTTTTCGTTAGGATTTGTATCTTTATCTCATCGAATCATATTTTAAAGATTATGGTTTTATCGTCATGCCTAGATATTTTACCCAGAGTAAGTACTTACCGTTCTTATCTAATAACCTTTTTATCCCTTAAATACTTGCTAATCATAGAATTCTGATCAGTTAATAACATCTTGGTCTATAAATATACATGAACCTTAGAAGGGGAAAAAATTTAAAGAAAAGCCTTTAAATTCTCTGAAAACTTTTTCCCCCTGAGAGAGGAAGAGCACAGTGACAATGGATGCTCTAGAAATCAGCACACCGCAACCAAATGATGGTAATTTTTAATTTTTAATTTTTGTAGTTGTAAATTTGTAATGTTCAATCTAGTTTTGATTAAGTTATTCGCTTATCTTTTTATGAATCAAATTAAATATAGAATTGTGAGGTTCTTCATTCACTTTGATATTTAATCTGATGATTGATGTGTTTTCTTACTGAGAATCATCATAATTTGGTTTTAAATTTAACTCAAAATACAATGTATGTTATATTACAAGAAAATTTTCCATGGAGCAATTTTTTTTGCCTATATCAATTTCTCTTAATTTCCTTAGAAGATTATAGGTCGACATCTCCATGCTACTCATGCGTCCATGATTTAGAATCATTGTGAATTCATATTTTATTATGAAATATTATCTCAGAATTTTTTTTCTAAATTACTACATCTTTTTTTCTGCAAAAAAAAAAAAAAAAGATATGTAAGAATTACAGTAACAGACTTTTTTTTTCCTTCATTTTTTAGGGGATTATAGATCCACATAGTTTTCTGCTTGCTACCCCATGATGATATATTCTCATACAACGGGTGAAAGTATATTTAGCTTCATTTTGTTTGAAGCTTTAGCCAAATAGAATGTGCTTAACAAAATAAACTTGTTTAATCCATATATGTAGCATATTTATTCCCACCTTTTAAAGTAAATCCCTCAAGATACTTCTTCATAATTTCATGTTTCCAATTTTAGGGAATGTTTCTAATTGTACCCCCATCTAATTATAGACGCCAGCTCATTTTTCAATACAATCATGATGTATATATGATGATTTCATTCAACCTACTCCCAAATTCAGGAAAAAACCATGCCAGCTTCATTTACTCATCCATATTTAGTCGCCCAATAAAAACCACCAGCTCATTTTTTAAAGCAATAAATATTGCACGCGTATGGTTTTTTTTTTTTTTGGTCCTCTACTCCTAAAATCTCTCCCAATATTAACACCAATATAAAATATTCAAATCCCATTTTATATACCTGAAAATTATATGTAGGTTAATTTACAAGAAAAATGAATAAGCTAATAAGTCAGAATCATTAGTCATTATATAACCCAGAAGGCAAGTAATGATTTGAATTTTTCACTATGTTATATAGATTTGATTTGTCCATAGACCGTTTATCTTGGCCATTTTCTTAAAGTAGTTTTTTTTTTTAATTTCTGACCTGACAAAATTCTAAATTGCACTGACAATTTTTAGATCCATTTCTATTCTTTTTTTTTTGTGTTATATAAGAAAATAAATGCACCCAATGTTGAGATCAATGAGTCATGGCACCTTCTGTTTAATGTTGAATACAATTTCTTCTTCTCTGACACACCAGAGAATGATCGTCTTATTCAGGGTGATAAGTGTTAATAAACAATTTTTGAGGTGATAAATGAAATTGTTACCATAAACTAATATTGAAATTAGCTTTGGCATCCATTATTTTGGCTAATTAGCACTTGAATCCCTTACGGTCCCCTACTTTGCACCTAAACGCCCTCACCTGTTTCTGGCAGAACTTATGTACGTGAGGTTTTAAAAATTGGCACTTTAATGCCTTCCCTTATTCAAAAGGGTGTTGCTACAAGGATCCAAATAGGGGACCCAAGGCATAGAACATGTGAGGTTTCACCATCCGGTTGCATGATGCATTGTTCATAAACAGTGCATCATGCAACCGGATGGTGACACTTCACCTATCCCATGCCTTGGGTCTCCTATTTGGGTCCACATTAATGTATTCAAAAGGTATCATCGGAATATTCTCATAAAACACTCGAAGAGCAAACCTTGCAACTTTTTAACCTTTAATAGTGCTTGTTGAATTTTACTACCTCTCTTCTACATCAGAGGGAGAGAATGATCATCCCATCGAAGAAGTTCGTCCTCACCTTCAGAACATGGTTCCTCGGCGTCACCTCCTGCATCTTCCTCTCCTTCGTCAACAAGTTCTTCGACTACCGCCAGCAACAGCTGAGCATCTCCTCGATCTGCGTCCAGATCGTCGCCCTCCCCCTCGGCAGGTTCATGGCCGCGGTCCTCCCGACGAAAAAGTTTAGAGTCCCGTTCACTGGCTGGAGTTTCACGCTGAACCCGGGGCCTTTTAACATAAAAGAGCACGTACTCATTACGATATTTGCAAATTCGGGCTCGGGCGGGGTTTACTCCATGCATATTGTTACCATAGTGAAGGCTTTTTATGGCAGGAANGCCGCTGGAATGTTGCTGTCGCAGACTACTCAGGTGAGTGCTTGGTTCTGTCACGAACCATAAATCCAAACTTTCAAATTTACAGGAAAAATACCACGCTCGAAAGAAAAAAACGACTCTCGAAATCGACGTTTAAGTTCCATACGTCAACCTAAAATGTTCGTCGCAAGTTCGGATTATTTACTCACTGAACGTAAACGCATAGTCAGATATCGGTCTCAAGTTCAATGCAAAGCCACAAATATCAAAATGAAATGCCGAAAAAATGATGTCGCGATTAGAATCTAAGTTCCTAACTCTGATTTTTTTTTTTTTTAACGTTGAACCAGTTACTAGGATATGGATGGGCTGGTTTGTTCAGAAGGTACTTGGTGGACTCACCTTATATGTGGTGGCCAGCAAATCTTGTTCAAGTATCTCTCTTCAGGTAGTTATCACTTACCCATGTCTCATAACTTCAGATTTAATTGCATATAGACCCCCCGCAGTATCGTTTTTTTTTTTTTCGAACTTACTATGTCCGTAGTTTCATTGTTGTAGATAGATCCACGGGTCATTTTTTTTGACTCTTTTACCCTCAAGACGGTCTCACTAATTTCTTCCAGGGTAAAAGACTCAAAAAGTTTGACCCGCGGGGTTTACCCCCGACAATGGAACTACAGGAGTAGTAAGTTCAAGACCGTGATATACAAGGGGTCTGTTACCCAAATTTCTAAAGAAAAATATCTCGATTCACAGAGCACTGCATGAGAAAGATAAAAGACCAAAAGGAGGAGTATCAAGACTCCAGTTCTTCTTACTAGTCCTCATCGCAAGCTTCGCCTACTACACTATACCAGGATTTCTCTTCCCTGGAATCTCGATAATATCAGTAGCCTGCTTAATATGGAAAAACTCTATCACTGCTCATCAAATTGGCTCAGGAGTCCATGGCCTCGGCATTGGCTCATTTGGCTTAGATTGGGCGACGGTTGCTGGATTTCTCGGAACTCCATTAGCTGTTCCTTTCTTCGCAATCTGCAACATTATGGCAGGATTTGTGCTTATCGTTTACGTGGTCACTCCTATAGCCTATTGGAGTAATTCGTTTAATGCGAAGAAGTTTGCTCTCATTGCTTCTACTGTTTTTGACTCGGAGGGGATGAGGTATAATACTACAAGGGTAATTGATGATAAAACCTTCACGCTGAATGTGAAGGAGTATGAGGGATACAGTAAGATACATCTTAGTTCGTTTTTCGCATACACTTATGGGTTGAGTTTCGCAACGCTTATGGCTTCTATTACTCATGTGCTCCTCTTCAACGGCAAGTAAGTAACAAAGGGTTAACCGCGGATAGACCCGCCCCTTGGAGTTCTATTGTTGCAGACAGACCCCCCCTCATTGAGAATTTCGACTCTTTCACCCTCGAGAAAGAGGAAATGGTTTTCCGACAGGCAGACCTCCTGAGGGCATAAGAGTAGCAAGAATTCCACTGAGGGTGTCTTCCTGCAACAATTCAACTGTAGGGGTCTGTTCGCGTAACGTTTTTTGAGTATTGGTTCTGATGAGCAATTGTGTCTATTTCTTGGAATTTTCACCATAACCAAATGTGTACTAGGTCTATATGGAACTTGTGGCGACAAACTACTTCAAAAGTACAAAATAAATGTCAAGATGTGCACACAAGATTGATGAAGAAGAACTATGAAGAGGTGCCACAGTGGTGGTTCTATCTTCTGTTGGCTGTAGTTATTGCATTATCCGTATATGCATGTGAAGGGTTTGGTAAACAATTGCAGCTTCCATGGTGGGGTTTGCTCTTAGCTTGCGGCATTGCATTGATTTTCACATTACCTATTGGAGTTATCCAAGCAACTACAAATCAGGTCTGTTGTGAAATTTGAGACAAATTTAAAGTTTAGGGGGGGATATGTGAGATTAAAAAAGTTCATAGGGATTATGTGGATAACCCCTCAAAGTGCAGGGTTTTTTTTTTTGCAAAATTAACCCTTTATTTATGCAATAAAAAATCAATATGTCATAATGCACATAAAATTGCAGGCTGAGATACTATCCTTCTACATCACAACAATTTGCATCTTACTCTAGAAAACTAATGTGATATGAATTTTCAAGATATTGTTAAGCCCTGATTTCATTTTTTTTTCTTTCTTTTTTTGTTTGTCTGTGCAGCAACCAGGACTCAATGTCATCACAGAGTTGGTGATAGGATATCTATTACCAGGAAAACCTCTTGCCAATGTGACCTTCAAGACTTATGGTTACATTAGCATGACACAAGCAATCACACTTATAGCAGACTTCAAATTAGGCCATTACATGAAAATCCCTCCAAAATCCATGTTCTATGCTCAGGTAACAGCTCGCTTCTTCTCTTTCCTTCTTCTTCCGTGATCATGAAAATATGCGAAATTGGAAACGCAGACGTCTCTCCCGCTATATAAACGGGTTAATTGCAACCCTGCACTATTGCCAAACTGTACATACTACTACCCCTGTAGTTCTATTGTCGCAGATAGACCCCCTGGAAGAGTTCTGTTATTGCAGTCGCAGATAAGACTGCCCTGAGTAAAAATCTATTTTTGCGGATAGGCCTCCTGAAAAGGAGCAAAATTTTCCCCTTCAGGGTCTATCTGACAACAATGGAGTAACAGGGATAGTAAGTTCAATCTGACAATAGTACAGAGGGTCTACCCACAATTAAAATCAATGGTCGCATTAACCCGTCGCATAGATGAGCAGGGTTTCGGTTGAACTTTGCATACCTGGTGTTTTTCTTGAAATTTACCCTCTTCGGTTTTTAAATCTTTGCAGCTTGTAGGTACAGTTCTAGCGTCCGCAGCCTACTTTGGTACGGGATGGTATCTACTTACGTCAGTCAACGACATATGCAACAAAGACAAACTACCAGCATCGAGCCCGTGGACTTGTCCTGGCGACGAAGTTTTCTACAATGCCTCGGTAATCTGGGGCCTCGTCGGTCCTCAAAGAATGTTTGGAAACCTCGGTCTCTATTCGAAAATGAATTGGTTTTTCCTCATCGGCTTATTAGCTCCGGTACCAGTTTGGGTGTTATCAAAAGTTTACCCCGAAAAAACCTGGATTAAGCTGATCCACATGCCTATTATCCTTGGAGCTACTTCTGGTATGCCCCCAACAAGATCCGTTAACTACGTGATGTGGGGTATAGTCGGGGTTATCTTCAACTATTATGTGTACAGAAGGTACAAGGCTTGGTGGGCAAAGCATACTTACGTGTTATCTGCTGCTTTGGATGCCGGAGTCGCATTTATGGGAGTCATAGCGTTCTTTGCTTTGGGGAACTACAACATCAACAGCGTCGATTGGTGGGGCGGCGCCAGCGACGACGACAAGTGCACTTTTGCTACTTGCCCTACTGCTCCAGGGATTCACAAAAAAGGGTGCCCCGTTCTCTGATTTTCCTCTTAGGATTTATGAAGTTTGTATGTGTGGTTGTCACGTTTGTATTTTCTTAAGGACTTTGTGCAAAGGTGATGAAGTTGGTAGTTTTGCTATTATTATCAGTGTTATTATGCGGATCTTGGTGGTTAATAAGTTGCTCCATTGTTTGGCTGAGATTACTGATCTTTTATGCGCTTTTGTTATTGAACATGCACCTGCTTCCATCTTCCCAATGAATTGAGATTTAAAATTTTCTTTGAATTAACGCCCTTAATAGATTATTATAACGCTGATTTTGGATAGCTATCATCCAGTTGCTGATAGCCCGCAGACCCCCCTTCGGTTCTGTTGCTGCGCATATAGACCCTGAGTGAAAATTTTGACTCTTTTATTCTCAGGAGGTCTACTCGCCACTTTCTTTCCTAAGGGCTCTATCCGCAACAATAGAACCATTGCGATTGGGGTTTATCCGCAAATGGGCGATATATACATGGGGCATTGCAATTAACCCCAGATTTGTAAATTGCATTTAGTTGGATGGCGAGAGCTTCTTTGCAAATGAATACAGCAGAGAAACACAACAACGTTTCTCCGGGCATAACCACAATAAATATTTCTCAATAATATGTTTTTTAAGTAAATCTTAACCTTTCGAGTAAATCCCAAGTCGCGGTACGGGCCTCAACATCTCGATGCTTGCACAAAAGATCTAGTAAAATCAACCACTCTATATATTTCCTCCATTATAAACATCTATGAGAACTATATGTCAGGATACCGAATACAGCATTTTATAGCAAGAAACAACACCATATATATACCGGCATCAGCCATTTCTTTCAAACTTCAAGACCATTTGTCCAAAATCTTGCAACGTTAATACACAAAACCTTCTAAGTTTGAGGAAGCTTACAGTGAGCATATGAACACTGTAGATATGGCGATGATTCAAACTTCAGCCCGAAGTTCAGAACACGGGATTTGCTCCATTGAAGCTATCACTACATCCTCGTCATTTCTCGGGCATAACCGATAATCCTATACTGATTAGCTGGTAGCGTAGTATTTCTTCATAAGACTCGGATTCTTTCGCCTTCTGAAAGAAAACACATTCATTCATTCTTGATTTCCCACTTTGGTTGCTTCCGAAATGGAACAGATTCTTTAGAGCGAGTGATTTATTTTCAATCAAGACTAGCAATGGAAACAGGCGATAATTAACTTGAAAGAGATTGCTCTTTCAATAGATTTCTGCACATAGAATACACTCCATTCTGCGAATGAATAAGGTGTTATTCATTGTAATAAGGGGGTAAAAATAGCAAGGGCCCCGAAACAAAACTGAAGCCTATAATAAGGGGTAAATTCAGCATATGCCTGGTAATTCAGAAAAAAAAAAGACGAGGATGTTCATTGTAATCATCGTAATTTTTTAGCAAATATCTGAGAGAATAGGCAAAAATGGAAACTAAGAGCTTTACCTGCATCGGTATAAAAAGGTTTCGGCTGATGAAGGAAGTTCCTTTCAAATGTATCTAGATCTTTAATTTTCTAGAATACAACTTCTACAAATATTTACATGAAAAATATCAAGAAAAATACATCTAAACAAAGAATTACTTGCTCCCCTTAGCTGCTCAGCAGCATCAGATGTTCCCTGAAATGAGGGTGGCAGGCTATGGAACTTTGTCAAAAGCACCTGCAAACAACGAATTAATATTACAAGCCCACATGAAAAAGATGGTGAAAATGCTATTAAAGTAATTGCAAACATAACCCACGTCACACAAAAAAAAGACAGAAATTATACACATTTTAGTCTAATGGGTTTTCTTATTTCCCTTCAAATAGCTGCCCAAACTAAAAATAAAAGAAAAATGGTGAAATGCAAGAGGACCCAAATCAATTTAATAGAATAAATTCAACAAAAACACTTTAAATCAAGGGGAAATGTAGCTAAATTGGAAAGAAAGAACGATGCCTCATGCTGCAAGAGGAGATTAGTGCACAAATGGAGATCGTTTTCAGTGAAAACAGTTTTTTGTTTGGGCTTTGTAGTTTATCCGTATCCCGATAGTTACCTCGCAACAAAAAAAATACGTATAAAAATCAAAAAAATGCGGTGAGCGTGGATCGAACACGCGACCTTCAGATCTTCAGTCTGACGCTCTCCCAACTGAGCTATCCCCGCTTGAGATGCAACGGGTAAAAATTTAACTTACAACAACTATCCGAAAATAAACATCATCCACAAACATAAAATCTCTTATAATGCTTTGGATGTTTGCTAAAAATGTATTTAAAATACATCTCCAAAAGACATTTGAATCATCATGAGTGTTTGGCTACGGTTTGGTGTATAAACAATGGTTAGAATATGAATCTACGCTGCTAAACTATGAGAACTCACTTACATTGTGTATTTCTCCATCTTTAATCAAAAAGTTATACTCTCAAGCACAAAGAACATGCTTTTGCTCCACTCTCTGTAAAACCCCAAAAATTGCTTCTCAAAAACTAATACATCAAATTGATTTAGACTTTGTCTAAGCTTGAGTACTCAACAATCTGAATATGTACACAAATATCCTCCTCTTAAGGTTGAAATCCATCCCCTTTGTCTTCACCAATATCCTCCAGTAAAATAATATTGACACAGTATAAAATTATCTTCACTATAACAACTCATGTTCAAATCCAAACAAACATGCATACAGTATAAAATTGCAAAACCCTCAATCACAAGTTCAAAAACTTTTGGATGATATCAAAAGAATCAGAGCAACCAAGTTCAAATCCACCAAACAAGTTTCAACCTATTATTGAAGTTAGATGTCTTCAAATAAAACTCTGAATATACATATAGATTGTTTTCTATATAGAGTAACTCTCACATCGTTTAAACATCTATGTATTTAACAGTCTAAATAGTAGTCTGATGATGGTTTAGGATGCATCTTTGCCTTTTGCTTCTCCTGCGGCTTTCGCCGCAACTTGCTTGTGCTTTTTCTCCTCTGCCTCCTTTGAAGGAACTTTCTTGCTTGCCTACAAACAAGAGAAGATACTGTGATTAGTACAAATTTGTATCCTCCAGATTTCTTACAATAGCAAATTAACATCCTCAAATGTCAATTTTACATGTTCATCAAAGTGAGAAAATCCTAATGAGATATTATAGAAGAACCAAGTGAAGTACTTTCTTTGAGCCTCTTAATCAGTACATAAAACCTTGGTGCTCTGGACATAAAACCTCGGTGACTCTTGACAGTAGTCTACTTCTTGGAATCAAACAAGAAACATGAAAACTTCGTCAAAATGAGAAGAATTATAGAGGCAATAGACAGATTAAGCAGCATAAGTGCATACTCAGAAATAATTCAGATATGGGACTATTTAGTTGTGAGCATAATCTCACATTTAAAGAACTAGAAAGAGTAATATACGTAAACAGAAAGTTTCAAACTAAAAGTTCCAAGTTTTCTGGATTTAACTTAGTTCTCGATCTTTATTTTAGGTCCATCTAATTGCCAAAGAGGCCCAGGTACTCCAAAAGTTGACTAAAAGTGCAAGTTGTATTTAAATTTGAAACTTTGAATTATTAAAATTTGTACTAAATAATTCACTTGAAAGGGAAAACAAAACCAAATTATGATGAAATTAATGTTGAACAAATGCAGGAACCAGCAAGGTAACACACCAAATAAACAACCTAATCGAATCTATTATAACTGTGAATGCTAAATCACATTCATGGAAGTTATTAGAAAAACTAAAAATATGATTAAAATTAATCAAGAATGCTCACTTTGGCTGATCCTAATGATCGATGATACTCTGGCATCGTCTTTCTCCTTGACACTCTTCTCGCAGCTTTAAACCTGCTCTTAACACGACCAGATCCATCTCCAGCAGCCTCAGAATGCAATGCATCAACTCCTTCCAAGTTAACGGGTACATCATTAGAACCACAACTTTCCTTCCCTTCAACCGATATATCAAGTCTCTTATTTGTAAGCATCAATAATTTGTGATTAGCACTCGAAGGCTCCAATTGCTTGCTCCAGCAATCGTCCACCACTGAGGATTTCTCTGGTGCTCGAGTGGCCATCCATCTCTCGAGCCAGGTCCAGCCACTGTTGGGCTCGGTGTTTGAGTCTGACCATGCTGGTTTCTTTTTTGCTGTGCAAGTTCTCAGCTAGAAACAAGGAGGAAAGATTAAATTGGACTACATGTCTTAAAATAAAGAATAAAAATTTGTGCTTTGGGTTGCAGCAACAAGGTGTTACCTGTTGAGAGAATGCATAGGCTAGAGCTCGCTCGCGTCTAGTTGTTGCTTCAAGCTTGTTTTGGATCCTTAGTCTCAGTGTGTCACTGCTCAAAGTACTATCATCCCACTCTTCCTGCAATCGAAAGAAAGGTGATACCAAATTTTTTGGAAGAGAGACTAAAATCCATAGCAAAATACAATCTGGTTGATATTCGTTTACAGTAGGATAAAGTGAGAAGAACTTTTGTTGCATTATATATCCTCCCACCTAGGTTGCAACTATAATTTTCTTTCAATATGCATATCTGGGTAAA